AATTCCCTATGGGTTATGAAAATAGATCACTTTAGTTGCATCAATCAAAGCAAGGTTAATGAGATTATTGAAAGAGATCGGGAGTGAAAGAGCTTACTTTGAGTAATTGTTGATATCCTCTCAAAAAGCATCATAAGGCTCAAGACTTACCATGGTTTTCTTTGTCATCTCCACTGGTTATGTCGGGTGTTCTGAGAAATGTTGGTTATATAGCGATTTTATTTTCGAGTCTAATCACCGTATACCTCAAGAATAACAAATACTGATGTACATTTGACAATTAAATCATAGAGATCGTATCAAGGTTCCAAAAAAAATTGAGGTTTTACGTCTCGGTCGTTAAGTTGAGGTGTCAAACCGATCATGTGCTTAGTCATTTTCACAAGCAATCTTAACATCCACATCTATTTCGTTATTAGCAAGAATTAAAGTGCTAATCTTATACATGCATTTTAAACAAATGAGAGAGATAAACTGAATCATTCATTCCATAATAGATTATGTGTTTACAATGGTACCAATGATTCAATCATCCACAAAAACATAAACTTCATTTATCCACAAGAAACAACAAAGATAAACATCCACCAAGACAAATATCCACCATTATCTACAAAATATCCCCAAAAACCTCAAAGGAGAATCATAAGAAGCAACAAACATCCACAAGGATTACTAAGAAGAAACTTTTATCAAAGAAGAAACAAATAACACCCCAACAAGAACAAAAATCAACTCCCTCCATCCCTCCCATCTCCACTAGCACCACCAAGCCCACCCCTCAAATAGCCAAGAATCTCCTCCTACTATCGGAGAATCTTGGCTTGGTTGGCCTCGATGCCAAGCATAATATCTCGTAGTGATCTGTGGGTGCTGGTGCCTACCTCCTCATGTGTCTGCATATGCTCTCTCTCTAACTCCCTCTCCTCCTCTGCATCAAGCTCATTTTGTACCTCGTCAACTCCCTGGGTCAGTGGCACCTCTTGTCTTGCCGCTAGGGTGCCCTTTTGCCCTTGGCTTCTCTTGAAAGAGCCTTTGTTTAATGGCCCTGTTGGCTTTTGGACTTCCATTTCAGGCTCACCCTTACCCCATTATCAATGCAGATCTTAGTCACCAAAGTGCCAAAAGGTAGTGCATTCCCCTTCGCATCACATCCCTTCTTCATTTCACTCAGAATCAATGAGGGGATCGATGCTATGCCCTTTTTCCAGTGCATAGAGCAAGCAAGCCATTTTAGGAAAAATCTCATTTTTCCTTCCTATGGGGGCTAGGTTAGACATCGCAATCAAATTTAGCATTTTGTACTTGTTGGTGAGCTCTCCTTGTTTCAAAAATTTCCTTCATCCCCATGAAAAGTCGACCATCCCTGTCAATTCCTTCCCAATCCTATCCAACACAACATTCTTCACCTGAGGCACCTCTTTCCTTTCTTCCAAAATATACGCCTCATCTACATCAATGTGGGTGCCCCTCACGTATGTCTGGATGGCGCCGTTGATGATCTCAGCATTGGAGTAGAACTCCCTCACCAAGTCAACAACAGCATCCCCACCATTCCTCAAAAATCACACCCATTCCCTTTTCTCCATTTCCTCTAAAATTTCCAATTTCTCAAAGTCAGTAACAACAACATCTCTTTCACAGACTATAGCATGGTTTTGAAAGAAATTCTCATACCTTTCGGTTTTGAGTGCACTGGTAAACCTTGTCCGATCATATCTCTTCCTCCTTTGTCTCCCTTCTCTTTCCTCAATGACTTCCTCTACAAAGTTAGGTTCCTGGCTTATTGGTGGATTGCGCCTTGCAGGAAGCTTAACCCTAGACATTGTGTTTTCTCGGTTTTGAGCTTGAGAGGATGTGAAAATCTTGATTTTTCTTGGGAAGATGATGATTTTGGATGTGGAAATGAGTTTGGGATGGTCGATTTTTGGTAGAATTAAGGAATGGGTGGAGTTTTGTGGGCTGGGGAGTGAAAAGGGGTTTTAGGTTTTAAAGGATTTTGGAGGTTTTGAACCGGGGAAGACAGTCCAAGCTTTTATAGTCTGAGGAGGAACGTTTGAACGTTCATGTCGTTTGAACGTTTGTAGAAGAATTTTAACAAAAACGTTCGAACGTTAAATATCGTTCGAACGTGGTGAGCTCCCAGTACTTTTGAGCTCTGTCAGAGACCAAAGTACTGTAAGTTTCTGTCGTTCGAATGTGCTATTGGCGTTCGAACGTACTAATGGTGTTCGAACGGACTGAGCTCCTAGTACTTTTCGTTTTCATCAGAGACTTCTTCAGAGGCTGAGAGTACTGTATGCAAACGACGTTCGAACGTCACTTGGCGTTTGAACGTTGAATCAAACTCAAAAACTTTTCTGCATTACACTATACAATAAAAGATGACAAAACACACAAGTTTGAACCAAAAATTCATGGCGTCTCAGGATAAGTCCCTACCCACGCTTCAGGTTGGTATTTTGGGACACTCCTTACTCGACCCATGTTTTCATTTCAGTCAAAAGAGTTTGTATAAAATACAAAGATTTTTACACAAATTTGGACCCTCGGCTTTCATCCCCAACAAAAGTATATATTCATAGTTTACGAAGAAGTCTAATTCGAGTCTTCATCTATCTCCATGCCTTTTGAACAACCAATAACTCTCCCAATTTTCTCTTTCACAAACCGGTTAAGCAGAGTACCGAAATAGGATGGGTCCTAGCAGGCTGCTATAACAAATGTGCAAAAAAAAAAAAGAATGGTCAAACAAAAAGGAAGAAAATGCAGAAACGTACAATGATAGTGGGCCCAAGGATTTTAAGGAAAATCAAATAGAGAAATAAAATCTTGGAACAAAAAAAAGGTGAAGTGCAGCACGTCATTTGTGAAAAAAAAATAAGTGAAGCTGTGGTGGTAGAAAAGTATGGAAAATGGATAAGCTATTGATGGGGCCCACATTTTTTATTTAATGAGTGGAGGCTATAATATTAAAATGGTGGGATTTACCACTCTGGAAGTTCAAGTGTATTTTATTAAGCCTTGTTATGTAAATACTCATGAGGTCTAAATAAGAGGGCCCACTACCTAGTAAAGTTCAAATGTATTTTCTTGTGGTGGGTCATCCAAGTGGATTTGTAATGGTACACTGAGGGATGCGGAGGCCTATTCCAAAATTGCACAAGAACAAAAATATACAAGACTTTGCGGCCATTGTGCGTGAAAAGTCTATCAAAATAAGGTCCATGCATGCAAAGGGCAACTAACCACGACAATATTTTTGGCAATAGAGAAGAGACAACAAAGGACTTGGGCCAATTTTACGAAAAAAATTTAGTTTTTTATCAGTGCTATGGTCGCCTCACAAACGATAGTTATAGTCAAACAATAAGTGCGGACAGAAAATAGTGTGGACGCACAGGACGTTTCCTGCAACTTGGCGCGCGCAAGGGCAAATGTAGTACTCGAAAACTTTAAGACACGTGTCTCCACCATAACAGGACAAGTGGCAACAATTATTTGTTGACATGGAAATGGGGCTTGACATAGTTCAGCTGCACTGGTATGAAATGGGGCGTGATACCCTCAAGCACAATACCGCGAGATACATCTCCATCGCATTGGAAGTAGCAAAATGAATCTTTCACCAAAGTTGGAAAGAAGTGGAATCGCAGAAGTGTGGGGGAAACCTCAATGAGACTGGTCTCCCTCGCTGCGGGAATGGTATCCTCAACCTATTGGATATCGTTGCTCGACTATCCCACTGGACTAAGAGGTGTCCCCACCTAAGGACGGGGAGGTATCACCCTTCTCAAGAGAGAATTGAGTAATAGAGGCGGATGAACATGATTGTCAACCTCAGCCTAGGGCAAGGTCTTGAAGGTTTAGTATGCTCGAGCAGACCTCCCAGTGTTTGGCTCACTGCCCACTTGGGTGTGCTTGATCGGGTTCCGGAGAGACTTTTAAGGTAACTGGGGTTATTGGTCCGAATTAACATATTGAATGATAGAACATGTGGATTAGTGGCTAAAATACTAAAACTATGTGAGTTTCCTATATGGGACACCCTAACAAAGGTCTCGAGGAAGGGTCTAGAGAGGGAAAGAAAGACCCAAGTAAGAACACGCTAGGGGCATCGCAGATATGACGCTCTCAAGGTCATGGTCCCACAGTTACTAATCGCGATCATAGACCTTGGGAGCCCACTCTTGCCTTTGGTTGTTGCACCTTCCTCAGGGTCACATGCAAGTTGCATTTGGGGAAACATCACATCTACCTAGTTAATGTTGGGACGCATGACTCGCGTTAACAGTCACTGGTATCATTGCAGTCGAAGCAGTTGTGGGATCGCACGGGTGATAGGGAATTGCGGTGGGTAGCCCGACCTGCCCGAGCACTGTGCTATAAATGCCCATATTACTTGTCCACTGCAGAGGATAATTTTCTAGTTGGCGAAAGTATTTTTCACCTACCCTCTACCCAACTGGTTCGTACCTTCGTTAACAGGTTGTTTGAGTTCCTTCTATCTCATCCACTTATCCAACTCACTCCATTCGATTACCTTTGACATAGACACATGTGTTAACCTCTTTTAAATCCTCACCTATAATAGATATTACATTTATGGACAATTTTCGCGAGCAACATAAATTTTTTTTTGTCTAAATTTGTCCATCAAACTATGTAATTTATTTTAATTGACTCTTTTCATTAAGATTAACGGATAAATGAGATAAATTATGTTAAGGTTCGTTAATGAGAGAAATTATATTAAGATTAACTGTTAATCTATCTCCTTTGATGGTTAATATTAGCGGAAGAGACCAATTGAAATAAATTATATAATTTAAGGGATAAACCGTGACGATGAAAAAGTTTATGGGAGAATTTAAAATAAAGATCATAATTTAGGGAACGTTTATGAGATTTGCTCTAAAAGAAACCCATCTCCAAGCAGAAACCGATCGAGTGATTCCACAGCTCTTGCTCTTTCTTTGCGTGTGTTTGTGCGTGAAAAAATGATGGGAAGATGCTCAATTTCATCGTCGTCGAATACGAATGAGGTTAACTTGTTCAAGAGCTTGACGGGTATCCAACAACTTGTAGAAACTCGTCAATTCAAGGTAAGCCTCCCTCAAAATTGGAACTAATTACGGATTTTGCCGAAGGCTTTCGATTTCTTAGCTCTTTCTACTTATGTTTTTCTTAGCTCATTCTAGTCATGTTTTTGAACTCTAGTAAGTTCAAGTAGTTGAAGCTCATTGAATGATTAATTAACACACACACACACACACACATATATATATATATCTATATATATATATGCGCTAATACCATAGCTTCTGGAGTAACTTGGCATAATTTGCAAGTTATAATAATATTATTGGACAAAGTCATTACGTCAACAAATTAGATCATTTTCACTTTTACCAAAAAAGAAATCTCAATATAACAGTAACTACCAATTTTAAAAAATGTAACATTAACTACAATCCGTATAATATTAAGAAAGTATGTTAAATTTTTTAATTCCAATTTTTTTTTAAAAAAAAAAATCTTATCAGCTTGGTCAAATTAATAAAGAAAAGCTAGTACCCACTCTTGTGGACCGGGGCAGGGCCACCTTATGCCCAGGGTGGCACATGCCCCCCTCAAATTTTTTTTTCTAAAATTACTTATATATATTTTAGGTATTTTTTTAATATAATAAATTGTGCCAACCCTATTTTTTAATTAAGACGAAAATACATGATATATCCATGAGTTTATTTATAATTTTAACATTTATTTTAGTAATTATCACCGACATGATAAATAATATATTTTATTATGTAATTGAATGAATGATAAATAACTAAGTGATAAAATGATTGTGTATATAAATAATAATAAAGTTAATACAAGACTTTCAACGTATAAAAATTTATCGAAGTCAATTCTAAATAGTTTTGACTTAGGCTTTGTTTGGTAAAAGGATATAATTAGCCTTTTTTTTGTCATTTGTATCTATTATGCTTAGCAATTTTAGTCTTTTAAGTTTAATGAACTTTTAAGAATTAAATAAGATATAATTAAATTAAACTTGTTAATTACAATTAAAATTATTTTTATCAATTACAAGAAAAAAATTATAATTAAAATTATTTTTATCAATTATAAGAAAAAATTAAATTTGTTAAAATATACAGTGCTCACCCTGAAAGAATTTTCTTGCTCCACGCCCCTGCTTGTGGACTAGTAGAAAAAATATTATTAACTTGGGTCAATCTGACGGTCTGAACCGGGACTATATCAGTTTGGATTATGGATTAGATCTCGACAGACTTTTAATCCTAAAAAACTTAATTCATCATCATGCATATCAATTTATACCATATGCCATTTTTGTTACTGGTCAATGATTTGAGTGTTATTTTTATTCGTAGCACTAAGCATTTTGGGCTTGGGCTTGGGCTTAGGCGAGTACGGGGGAAGCGGGGACGGGGATTAGAAATTTACCCGCGGACGGGGATGGGGATGAGGATGAAACTATACCCGCTAACGAGGGTGGACCAGGGATGAACAGAGTTTTTTTAAGTTGGTACGGGGATGAAGACTACACTCCTCGCCCCGCTTCGGTTCACTGACATCCCTAGCTACAAATATGGGTTAGAGGTAAGGCATGTATCTCTCTGAGCACCCAAATTAGGAATTAATTCATTGGGAGAACTCCTTATGCTTAGTTCTGATTACTAATAAATAATTATACTCCTACCACCAACACAAAATCCTTATGCTTTGTACTCACATATACCATGATGCTCACTTCTAGAATAAGCTTATTTGGCATCCATTTATGCAGTACCCCTTGGGCCTTTAACACCAATGCAACAAAAGACAAAATTCTAAATTCATTCAGACATTCAGGTCACCAAAAATGAGAGAAATAGGTTATGCTATAAATTTAACAGGTATTTTTAATTTAAAACTTAAATCAATAAAAAAATTATTTCTTAGGTACATTGCCCCTAAAGCCACTGCTTCCATTTTTCCAAAACTAAAGGAACCCAAAATTTCTTGCTGAAAAAATGTTAACATCCTTGTAAATAAGCTGCAATGACCAACACCCAAAGCTAGATTCTACAATCAACATGGAAGTTATTATCATGTTGGTCCATAATCAATCATTCTTCTGCGTAATATATTCTTCCAGGACTCGTACAAACAAAAATTGTATTAAATGTTAAAAAATATTATAATATAAAATATTCTAAAACAATTATAGTGCCCCTTACAATTAGATTTAACTGTAGCAAGTTGTTGGCATTGTGCAGAACAATCCTTTGCCTTTGCAAATAAATTAAAACCAAACAAAAATAAAAAATATGAATTGCAACCAAGGATCAAAATATTGTTTCAGTCACATAGGACACGGAAATGTTTTGATATGTTTCGGAAACGTTTCGACCCGTTTTGGAAATATAATAAAAAAAATAAAAAATTTAAAAATTATTTTTCTAAAACATTGATGAAAATATATCAAAGTATCTTGAAATACCTTGAAATATTCCAAAAATAATTGTACAAATGCATTGAAATATTATAATACATTTAACATTATGGAATATCTCGAAATATCATAATTTTGATTCCGTCACTGTTTCATTTTGGTCTTCTTAGAAACGGAAATGTTTTGGATGTTTTGACCGTTTCAAAACGACATTTTGATCCTTGATTACAACGATGAAACACAAGCACATGACATGAACAATATTTTGGTTTGTTATGACCAAGCACACCACAACTATGACTAGTCCTTTGCTTAGTCTGCCGCTCTTCTTTTCCTTATTTGATCTTTTTTTAGCTTCCTTTTGTATGTACCTTTTGGGGAGCACGCACTATAACCTATAACCCGAGTGTTAAAATTTGTTGTCGAATCCTCGCCAACATTTATATTCGTTTCAGTTGTACACTGCTTGCCAGCTTCTTCCTCATTTATTGCACTAATACCTGCGAACTCTAACAAAATCATATGATCTCTGGAACAAAGCCTGCTTGTGTACATTTACTTGCTAAACAAGAGAGATCATTAAATCACATAGTGATACTTTTTTTTTTTGCAAATCAGTTCTGATTTCAACACCATGAGCATCATGCACCATCCCATCTTTTTCAGTACTAGTCCATCGTTTCAAAATGTAGTGCTTGGGAAACTTTGTCATGCAACCTAAAACGAAGAGAAAATACATGTTTCAAAGAATCCCTAGAAATTCCCATTTACGGCATGAACAAATTGCTTTTTCTTTAGATTTATCATATGGTTCTGACCAAATCTTACCTTGATGACCTTTGCCCTTGTAAACATTGTACACACTTACTCACCCATCCTTAGTAACCAAATCAATAACATGGACGGCACTTGCCCAATCTCTTCTTGGAATTCTTTATATACTTTTCACGTGTAAATTCCAGAAATTTCTTTCTCTATTTCAAAGCTAGTTCTTATATTAGGCTGCTCATTAATATCTTGTAATCTGGTTTATTTTCTTCTAGGCAACGACTCTCGACAGCCTTTTCCAATTGTTTCAAGAACTCACTTAATAACCAATGATCACAAATCCCATACATGTAGCATAGTCAATCGTAGGTTTTAAGTTCATACTACTCAAACAAGTTGCTCCATAAAGTCTCAAACGCCTCTATTGTGTCAGTTCTATGTAAACAGTCGTTAAAGTCTTTCTTAACAGGGGTGCTGCCTACATACCACTCCCAACTTTTCTGGGACCTTTTGCAATATATGCCACATGCATAACCTTTGATGTGCATGTGGGAAAACTTTAGCTATCGCGGGCTCCCATACCTTGGTCTTGATCAGTGATTATTGCTCTTGGAGTTTGTCCATTCATCGCCTTAAGCCAAGTCTTAAATAGCCATTCAAAAGACTCTTCAGTCTTAGCTGCTAATAGTGCACAACTGAATAAAATTGACTGCTTATGATGATTTACACCAGTGAAAAGAGTAAAAGGCATCAAGTACTTATTAGTTTTATCCGTGGTGTCAAAGACAACAATGTCCCCAAAATAGTAGTCAATTCTTGCGTGAGCATCCACCCAAAAGCAATTGCAAAGGTGTCCCTCTTCATCAATTTGAAAGTCAGAGTAAAAAGAAGAATTGTTTTTTTATTCATTCCAATGAAATAATTTATGAGAGATTGACCATCATTACCATATGTTTATGTCTTCATCAAATCCAATCCCTCTAATTCCACCCGCTTCATGTGAAAGAATACTCATAATATTTTTGGTGTGCCTAAACCAGATTCACTCCTCTTTTTAACTAATCGTTTAGCCCCCTCATATATGTGCTTTTGTGAGCGAAGTAAATAAATTTTAGATATTGTCACAATCGCATGGTTGTGTACCTTAATGAACTTTGTGACATAATAAGTATCAGATTCTTTCTTTTTCTGTACTTCCATTCTTGCTTGACAATCCACCCGAGTTATTGCTTGCTTTTGCTAATCACGCTTTTCATTGTCTCTCTTTAGGGCACAAGAAGTCTCGCCATATTACCATAGGTTCTTTCTCCGACAAACGTTGAGTACCTTTATGAACACTGAATCCACAAATCCTCGCATAAGCATTGTAAAAAGTAAATGCTTCTTTAATAGAATTGAATTCCTTCAAAAAAAATGGTTTTATGTCTTCAAGCACATAAGGTATGATTTCGATGCCTTCCATATTTGTCTCTAAACTATATTTTTGTAGCAACCTGTTGAAATTAAACAATGATACTGCTTAACAAATTGCCAGCAAATTGATTCAAAAGACCAGAACACAAGAAACATACACACTTACTTCAAAATGTAAATTTATAAATGGTATTACTTATACCAAACATAGACTGAAGTTCTCTGTTCTGGGGAATTATTCTTTCAACTGCAATTATATATTTATTTAGAACATTTATTTTTTTAATCCCCAAAAATCATTATCTATTTTTAATTAAACCATTGCAGCTGAGTTTTTGCTCTAATAACATGCCCAAGAAGAGGGACACAAATATATTTAAAATTTATCAAGTAACATCTACCATATCCACAAGACTAACGCAGAAAGATTTTAAAAAAAAAATTCCCTGAACTAGTCCATTATGAAGATGGACAAATTTTATATATTTGGGAGAAACTTTATTTAGAATACCTTCAAATAGCATGGCAAAAGGGATCTAAGGGGATCTTCTTGCCGATTCAATTGAAGAAGAATCTAACTGTAATCAACCCTTGATGGAAGGCAAGGGTTCCAACAACTTCATTGTTGGAAAAAGAAGAGACACTGTCGGTTGTGCTCTGAGTGTGAAAGAGAATATGGATGAAGTTTAACTTTTTTAAGATTATAAGGTTGCTTAAGATTGGATCCACCAGTCCACAAGAGTTCATAGGTACGAACTGGTTTGAATTGACCTAACTAATAAGATTTTTTTTTAAAAAAAATTGAACTTAAAAAATTAAACATACTTTCCTAATATTGTAAGGATTGTAGTTTAATGTTACATTGAGAAGTCCTTTTCGGTAAACAACTAACTTTGGTAGGTTCTTGCATTTAATTTTGGTCATCTTTGGTTAGCAACCATTACATCATGATCTAACAGTTGACATTAAAAGTACCCACCAAAAGCTATGATGCATAGCTTCAATGAGCGCGCTATATATATATATATATATATATATATATATATATATATATATATATTATTACATTGGAACGTACGTAGAATGAGCTTGTGGATTGTATAAGCTATAAACATTAGAAATTAGCTTGTACAAGATGGTGGATTATAAGTTTGCGACTAGTAGAATTTACATGATGGGTAACTGATGTTATGTAATTTTTTGTAAGCCATGAAGGCATGAAGTTCGTGTTCCCATATGTTTTGCCTCATATTTCTGGGGTGTTTTTCATAATAATTTAAGCAAAATAAATTAACACGATACTTTCTTGAAGTTTTTTAGACATTTATAACAATGCCTTTGTGATGTCAAAACTCAGTTGGTGCCTTATGGACGTGGTTGATGATGATCCATAGAGTGCTGGAGTTTTAAATGGAATGGGTACTCCTCAGTTCCCACATTTCTTTAAGAAATGGTGTTTGGCTATGAATCCCATTTTTGCATAAGATTTTCCTACAAGTATACCTATTAGAATGGGAATGGGTGTTTACTTTCCTTTAAAGCTTTTACTGTTTTGTTTGTTTTTCTTGGTTTTCTAATGCATATGCATTGATTTTGGCCACTCTTTTGACTTGTTAACCTGGTTTCTATTGTTGAATGGTTTTTCACGTTCCACTTTGTCTGTTTCCACTTTGTCAATGTTTGCCTTTGTGCACTTATGCATATCCATTCTCCCAGTTATCAAAAAATGTGAGCTAAAGGAATGTGACTTCTTTGGAACTCTTTATATTTGTTGTTTGCTTTCCTTGTTGGAAACAGACATGTTGAACCTTCCCAATCCCCGACGTGTTGGAAACCTCATCCACTGAACTGCCCTTTTTTTTCCCTTTGTCTATGGTGTTAGCATAATGAAACTTTAGGGCATCTCTTGGAATAGTAAAGGCCAGAATGACGTCAATTGTCTTTGTGTACCTTATTTAGAAATTTACACCTAAATTTATGTCTATCTATATTTCAGGATTGACTCATTAGTTTGCTGATATGTGTGCAGGCATGGTTCTTAGATCAATTTGGAGTCCTTCACGATGGGAAACAACCGTACCCGGGTGCAATTTCAACATGTAGGTTTACATCCGTTTGCTTTTGCAAGTTGGTAAGCTTGATCTGTTGATCATGCTGTTCACTTCCCAAATTTGTAATATGATGGCACTAATGCTGTAGAAATTTCTTGTTGCGAAACAGTAGAAAAGCTGGCAACCAGTGGTGCCAAGATGGTGATTATTAGTAATTCCTCAAGACGCGCATCAACAACCATGGAAAAACTGAAGAGCCTTGGATTTGACCCCTCTCTCTTTGTGGGAGCCATCACTAGTGGAGAATTGACATATCAGCACCTTCAGAGGTTGGTCATCATACCGTTAGAAATTATTGGCAAAAATTAATATATATAGTCAGCTTGTAATTATATGTGCTACTGTTTTTTGCGAGCGAATCTCCCAACCAAAACAATATTAGTGCGAAAGGCTAGCTTTGTAGCTATTATATTTTTGTTAAAAAGTTTAATCCTGATGTGCTCAAGTAGGAAATTCATGTCGTTTTTTGTTGAATTATATATTAGGAAAGATTTGATGAGGACATGCAAATAGTAGTTACAGTTGAATTGGTTGCATAGCTTTTTTATTTCATGGCAGATATTTGTTTGCCATTCATACATTTAAGTGCTTAGTAATCAGAGTCTACCCTGACTTGTGCTTAGTATCAGGCCCCTAAACTGTGGTGTACCATATGATTCTGATAAATTTGAGCTGCTCATATGTTATTATCTCTGATCTAGTGTATATAATGGTTGAATTCCTTCTTATAGACTCAGGAACATTCTTTCTTCTGGTTGATTGTATTATATTGGAATGATTTTACGTTTCATTTGACTACTCAAAAGAAAAATATTTACTCATTCAATATCTTTATATTCAATGGTTAGACTATTACTTACCAATGCCTGTTTCATGGTATTTGTCATGAACAGGAGAGAAGATGATTGGTTTGAAAAATTAGGAAGTTGTTGCATTCACATGACCTGGAATGACCGGGGTGCTGTATCACTGGAGGTATGCAAACATGAATAACGATATATAATGTCTCTAGAAATTATTGTCTCCAATTTACTGTGTCTGGATATCTACTAGTTTCTTTCCAAATTATCTCAAATTTTACGTTGTATTTTTTATCTTTCTGTAAAAGTCATATTTTCTTTATGTTATCCTTCAAGATAGGCAAAAGCCACAAGAGAACTCTGGGTTTTAAACTGCCGAATTTTAACAGAGAGAACTTTTTAATCCCATAGAATTCAACAATTATCCAATGTCTGTGTGAAGCATCTGATCATATCTTGGCATTCATTTCATTTATCGGATATTTGAAAACTCTTTTCATCCTACAATGATCCATCTACCGCTTCCTTTCTTCTTGCTTCATCAAACTGCCAGAAATTGTGCGGGTTTGTTCATATGGATTATAAGTCACTAGAGAGATAGAAAAGTATCTTTTAAGGTTTGATTGCATGAGTTGAAAAGCTTCCTGACCATGAAGAGTACCTCGGTGATTATTAAATAACCAAATGAGCACTGCACCGTACTGATGGTGGATTTGGAAATTGTTTTGAGTTCCTAATTGGTTAAATTTCTTGCTGTAGGGCCTAGGGTTACGAGTCGTGGAGTATGTTGAAGAAGCTGAGTTTGTTTTGGCCCATGGAACTGAAGCTTTGGGGCTTTCTTCTGGTGCTGCAGTTCCCATGAAACTTGAGGATCTTGAGAAAATATTAGAGCAATGCGCAGCTAAAAGAATCCCTATGGTGGTAGCTAATCCCGATTTTGTGACTGTTGAGGCTAGAGCGCTGCGTGTCATGCCAGGTATTGAAGTTATTCAGACTGATGTTTAGCTTTATGAATTTCTTGATATGCACCTCTCCAGTGATTAAAAAAAGTTCCATGATTGAACTTATAGTCATATTGTGGTTATATGTTGCTCCAGTTGTTCGATTAATTACATCTTTTCAGTACTTAGATGTGAAAACTTTCAGCGCTTAATCTGTTAAGTGTGTTTGATTAGGCATAATGAGATACCACTTTAAAATTAGTTTTCTGAGAATGGATTTAAATTTAGACTTATCGCATGTCATTGGATATGTGAAGTGGAAGGCAGTTTTTCTTTTCTTTTTTTTTTTTTTTTCATTTGGATTTGAATAGGCATATTTATCTTAGATATCCATTCACCAACTTAAACACTTCATTGTTGCCCTTCTTCACCATCTCCCCTGCACATCCTCGTCCTGTCTCCTCTCTCTGTGTGGGTGCATGTGTGCTTGCTTGCATAAAGTCCTTGAACTTCTAATTATATGTAGCTGCACCGAACCATTAAAAGTAACCTATAGCCCACATCAGAACCAAACTTACTATCATGGGATCATGGAAAGGGTCTTTGTCATGGAAAAGAGAATCTGTATGGTATTTAACGTAACGTGTGAGGTGAACAAAATGAATCATACTCCTCCATATTAGCATGTTAAATGGCGAATCCATAGTTTTAGTCTGAGATTTACATCTTTCTTGCTGTTTCCATCAGTGGCTGTCCTTGTCTTTAAGTTTTCCTTATTCTTAACATTTCTTGTCCTTATTGAAACCATAAAAATGATTTTTTGCTTATTTTATAAAATAAAGGGTAAAGCACCACTTCCTTTTTTTGAACATATTTAGTATCAAACTATCAATACATTTGGAGTTATGTGGCAACTCTCTCTTTTCCCAAATTAACAGCTTAAGCAATTTTTTAAGTACTCTTGCTTATTTGGTAGAGGAAAACTGGAATTATTTTCATTCAAAAATGATACAATTTTGAACGGAACCCATTGTTTTAATTATTTGTTTTCATAACTGTCGCATGTTCATTTTTGGATCTTTGCTTTCACAAGTTTCGCATTTACACCAGTACTAATTCGCAGCTTAAGTACTGGTCCTTTTTTTAGGTACACTGGCAGCGACATATGAGAAACTGGGTGGTGAAGTAAAATGGATGGGCAAACCTGATAAGGTGACGAACCAGAGCAGTAAAATCCCCATCCCCCAAACAGAAAAAAATGGTTTCATATATGTTCTCTTTGCTCGGTTCCACAGATTTGCTTCATTCTGATGCACCTTCATGTGCACCCTTGATATATGCATGCAGGTTGCAGGGAACATTTAGGCAGATCCAGGAATTATACTTTAGTTTTCTGTTATGTATATATGTAAAAAGAAAATTTGTTGGAGTTGTAGATCAATTGAAATGTTGTGGAGCATAGATACTTTGTTTAGGTCGAAGCATCCATTTTGGATACGACACGTGTTGGATACTCGAGAATATGTGTCCAATAACTAATTAAATAGTTCTTTATTTCTGGATGCGGCTTGGGCATGCACATCCAACATAAATACACCAATTCTCTCTCTACTTTTCATTGAAAAATCCATGTGGCTTGAATACATGTTTCTTAAGTATTATCTACTACCATATCTCAAAAAGACATATGGGCAACTATTGAATGTATTTCTTTGTGTGTGTGTTTTTGGGGGTATGAATGGGCGATTAGAACTATTTTGCAATGTAAATTTAGAGGGCCACAAATGTCATTTTGAACGCTTGTGGCAGTGCTGGCCCCTGCGTGACCCATCTTGCATCTGCCATTGGATTTCATGTGTACGTTATCTTTTGTTTGTTTTCATTGTATAGGTTGGCTTGTTTGCTATACATACCTGCAAAACTTAAAAAACACTACTGAGGGTTTTTCTAATTTAAAGACATCCCGAAACCTGATAGTGTATCAAGTGGTCTACTAGTAATGGTTTCCTGTTTCTTTAGGTAGCACGATGCAGTCACATAAATCACACAACCATCTATCTGAAGTAACACAGTGAAATCAGCTAATCCTGCTGCATTTCTGAATTTCTGATGCATGTGCTGCTGCATTACTTTGGAGTTTGGATAAATTCTTAGTCCACAGGCTTTCAAAGGTGCTAGATAATGCTCAAAGTTTTGTACCTGATTGCAATAATTTTCACCATGGTGTTATGTCTGTCTAACCATAAAAGCTTTTGAATGAATCAATTTAAATGGTTGTTATTATAAAACATGCACCATCTAGTTTTCCTTTTTAAGAAGAAAATATATAGGATTTGGATAAACTAATGCATCCCAAAAGTGTTGCTTTAATCCTGACTTCATCTAGATCATGTATATTTGATGATATTCTCAAATTGGAACAATTTGGTGTCATTTCATTTGCTTCTTTACATTACTAATCAAAATTATATGGTAGATATTACCTATTTGAATTCAATTTTGGACTGACATTTGATGTTTGAACCCATGCAAAAATGGGAAAATGTAAATGGAGATGATGTGGGTGTCTTGGATGTATTATTCAAGGTTGTCTTTCATTCATTAAATATACTTCTTTGCATACATTACTGAGTGTCTTTACATGATTCAATGACTCAATCAGATCATATATAAATCAGCTATGGCGATGGTTGATGAGGAGGCTTCTGATTGTATAGCTGTGGGAGACTCTCTCCACCATGACATAAAGGGTGCTAATGCTGCTCAAATCTGCTCGGCGTTTATCACTGGTGGGATCCATGCAACTGAACTTGGTCTTGGTAAATTTGGAGAAGTTGCAGATCAATCTTCTGCTCATGCTCTTTCAAAGAAGTATGATGCTTATCCATCATACATATTGCCCTCATTCACATGGTAATCTCTATACAGGTAAGCATTCACTTCCCCTTGCACTGTCAACTGATGTTTTTTCGGAAGGTTGCACTATTAATTTTGTTGTAACTTGTAAATGATAATGGGGGTTTCAATGCATCACACACACACATTGCTCACATACACCCAACCCACAAATACATCACATACACAACACAACCCATAACACACATATACAATACAACCCACAACATATAGAGAACTTACATCGTGCACGCACACATACACCGAACACACATTGTATTTGCACTCATTTCTACACAAACCCCTCCGGTCCTCAGAGGGATTTGCAAACCTATGCTATTAGACGAAATGTCTGTCTCCAAAGGCAGTATGCTATGCTAAACAAAACAATCATCAATATTTAATCAAAGTTTTTTTGTTCTTTTAAAAAATTTGGACAATATTTTTCTTAAAAAGAGGACACCAAAAACATATCAACCTATATACAAAATTAATGTAGGTTACAATCACAACCCAAATCAAAAACATCTAAAAATATACTCTTCTAAGCATAAAATCAAATTTAGAATCATCTCATAAATCAAATTTAGGATCATCTCATTATATATTCCTTTACATCTAAAATCAAACTCTGCAAAGACTCATGTCTATATAACTCAAAAGCAAAAAATGGTAACATGTAATACCTTTCACAAAACCGTAGACACCCTTCCACCTAAGAAAGAAAAATAAAATTGTGAATAACCATACTAAGAATAATAATTAGTCCACCAGGTCACCAACTCAATTCAAAAATTATAATTTAAATTCAATATGGTTCCAATTCCTTTTTCAAGAAGTTCAATCTAAAGGAGTGAAAGAACCATAAAATTCAACTTGATGACCTAATGTGGAACATTATACAATGCACTACAAATTTAAGACATTCTAATCATACCAAAACAACATACAAAAAGCATAAGAAATCTGTTAAGAGTATTAGGATAGTATGTGTAAATTGTTAATAGTGTTAGAGTATTATGTGTAATTCTTATTATTGTGAGTTAACTATAAATACAAGTGATGTATAAGAGTTAGGTTAAATTTTTAACCTCTCTTTATTTCTCTATAATCATTATCTCTAATATTATTGTTAATCCTCTAAACTTAACATGGTATCAGAGCAATACAATCATAAATATATATTTTAAATAAATTAATTTTTTGTTCGAGGTGTACTGTGTTTATTGGAGTATTGTTGTGGTGTTTGTGTGTTGTGAAGCTTGGTCGGTCGTCGTCGTTTGTGTTGCGGTACTGTTGTGGTGGTGTGGCTGTTGTGGTGGTTTGTCATTCATCGTTGGTCGTAGCTGTGGTCAGTGATAATTATTGTTGTGTGGTTCGTTGTTCGTTGTGTTGTACTGTCGTGATCTTGCCTGGTGGTGGTGGTTGTCGACTGGTGTGGTCGACGGTGTGCTGGTCATTGAGTTTTGGTGGTGCTTCTGTTCTACTTGGTGGTGCTTCGATGGTGTAGTTGGCGTTGGTGGCTGCCTGGTTGTTGAGTAGGCTTTCGTTCTGCCTGGCTTTGGTGTGTGCAGTCGAAGATCAATGTGCCATTGAAGACCAAGGTTTCACTGGGAACCCTAATCTCAACGAAGAAGAAGACTCCAACGGGTTGGGTCAGATTGGGTCAAGTCCAAGTCCAGTGGTCCAACCCATGGTCTGGTTCAGTCTGTATCACGGTCCAGAGCCCCTAGCCGGTCCAGTTTTGTCTTCCAGAGGGTCCAGCTGATCCGGTTCAGTGGTTCAGGAAGTCAAACCGGCCCGGTTCAGTGATCCAACAAGTCAAACCGGTTTGGTTCAGCAGTCCAGAGGGCTCAGCTAGGCCGGTTCAGTGGTCCAACCTCCCTTTTCAGTTCGGTTCAGGACTCAAGTAGCCTTAACAGGCCCGGTTCAGTGGTCCAGGCCGGTTTTCCAGTCTGGTTCAGGGCTCCAGCAGCCTTAACAAGCCCGGTTCAGTGGCCTAGGCCGATTTTCCAGTCCGGTTCAGGACTCCAGCAGTCTTAACAGGCCTGGTTCAGTGGTTCAGACCAGTTTACCAGACTGGTTCAGTTTTCTAGCAGCGGTTCAGCATCCTCTTTTCTTTTGGTTCGGCATTGCAGCACTTCTTATTTGTTATTTACTATTTGTTGCACTGTTATAGAACCCAAGCATGACATTGAATTGGTTACTATTACTCGAGAGGAGTATGCCCAGTTCCTATCCCAACAACAAGCTGTTTCATCTCCCTCCACTGTTACTTTTGTCCAGTCAGGTATTGCTTCCACTTGTTTATTGTCTACCAATCGCAATCGCTGGATCATAGACTCTGGCGCTTCTGATCACATGACTAGTGCGTCTGATATTTTTTCTATTTATCAGTCTGTTCCTTCCACTCGTAATGTTACTCTTGCTAATGACACTTGTTCTAAAGTTTCAGGTTTGGGGACTACTAACTTTAGTCCTGATATGTCCCTATCTTCAGTGTTATTTGTTTCTCAGTTTTCTTTTAGTTTACTTTCCATTAGCAAGATTATTCGTTCTCTCAATTGTTCTATAATCTTTTATCCTTCTTATTGTGTCTTTCAGGATCTTAAGACGAAGATGAAGATTGGTACGGGGCATGAAGCTAGTGGGCTATATTACTTTGATTTTGATTCACCTACTCGGGCTCTACAGACCTCATTGTCTCTTTTTCAGTGGCATTGTCGTCTTAGACATCCCTCTCTCCAGAATCTGAAGCGTCAGGTTCCCAGTCTTAATTTTGTCTCGTCTTTGTCTTGTGAAGCTTGTCAACTTAGTAAGAATCACCGTGTGTCATTTCAATCTCGAGTCAATAATCGTGTGTCTGGTCCATTTGAGTTGATACATTCTGATGTATGGGGTCCAATAAAGAATATTTCATCTAATAAATATCCTTATTTTGTGTCATTTGTGGATGACTATTCTCGTGTCACTTGGTTGTTTCTAATGAAAGTTAGGTCGGAATTATTCTCTATATTTGAGACATTTCGTAAGGAAATAAAAACTCAGTATGGGTGTCGTATCTGTATTTTACGTTCTGATAATGCTCGAGAATATGAATCTGATCTTTTTTCAGCTTATTTTAGTAAAACTGGCATTATTCATCAGACTTCTTGTGCTTACACCTCTCCACAAAATGGTGTTGCTGAATGCAAGAACCGTCATTTGTTGGAAGTCACTCGTGCCTTGTTATTCTAGATGAATATTCTCCAATATTTTTGGAGTGATGTTGTTCTTACTGCTTATCATCTTATTAATCGTATGTTATCCTTTGTGTTAAATGGGCAAAGTCCATATTCTGTCGTTTTTCCTGGTAAGCCCTTATTTTTCCTACCTCCTAAAATCTTTGGATGTGTCTGTTATGTTCATAATTTGGGTCTTAGGTTTGACAAACTTGACCCTCGAGTTATCAAACGTATATTTCTTAGTTACTCCCACACGCAAAAGGGGTATCATTGTTACAATCCTTCTCTGCACCGATACTTTACTAGTGCCGATGTCACGTTTGAAGAATATGTTCCATACTTTCCAGCATCTTCTCAGCCGTTGGATCTGGACTTTGGACCATCTCCTATACCACCATCTCTTTCCTCATCTTCTGACATTCTGCTACCTACTGTGTTACCATCTACTTTACTTCTCAGTGTCTACTCTCGCCGTCCTCGCCCATCGATTGAGGTGCCCTTACTGTCTTCCTTGTCGCCTTCTGATCCTGGTACATCAGGTAATTTAGACTAATTACCTATTGCTTTTCGCAAAGGTACTCGTTCGTGTGTTAATAATCATCTCATTTCTCATTTTGTTTCATATGATGTCTTGTCTCCTATCTTCTTCTATTTTACTTCTCAATTATCTGCTATATCTATTCCTAAGCATTTACAGGATGTCTTATCTGATCTGGGTTGGAGGAATTTGATGCTTTACATCATAATGGGACTTGGGATCTCATTGGGTGTATACTGTTAAGTTTTATCCAGATGGTTCTGTGGAGCGTCTCAAAGTCTGACTTGTTGCAAAGGGCTTTACTCAAACTTATGGTGTTGATTATGAGGAGATTTTTTCTCCTGTTGCCAAAATTTCCTCTGTTCGTATCTTGATCTTTTTAGCTGTTAATCTTGATTGGTCCTTGTTTCAGTTAGACATCAAGAATGCCTTCCTACATGGTGATTTGGTTGAAGAGGTATACATGGAGCAGCCACCTGGGTTTACTGCTCAGGGGAAGTATGGTAAGAGTGTATGTCGGTTAAAGAAATCTTTGTATGGTTTGAAGCAGTCACCTAGGGCATGATTTGGTAAATTTTCAGATGCAGTTTTAGAGTTTAGTCTTCTTCGATGTCAGACAGATCATTTTGTGTTTCATAAACAGACAGATGCTGGATATGTCCTATTGGTGGTCTGTGTAGATGATATTGTGATTATTAGAAATGATTCTGAGGGGATTGATAAGTTAAAAATATTCTTACAGGATTGATTTCATACCAAGGATTTGGGAAAACTTAAGTATTTCTTGGGTATTGAGGTGGCTCGATCTAAATAGGGTATTTGTTTATCACAGAGAAAATATGTACTTGACATGTTTGAGGAAGCAGGTTTGTTGGGTGGTAGACCGATTGATGTTCCTATGGATCCGAATCAAAAATTATTGATGGATGATGGTGCATTGTTTGAGAATCTGGGTCGGTATCGCAGATTGGTTGGAAAGCTTAATTATCTTACTATTACTCGACTGGATATTTCCTATGCAGTCAGTATAGTAAGTCAGTTCATGGGGTGTCCTAGAGTACCACATTAGGAGGCAGTTACTCGTATTCTGCGATATCTCAAACGAGCTCCTGGACTTGGACTGTTATATCGAGCTAATGGACATCTTAGAGTGGAAGGTTTCTCAGATGCTGATTGGGTTGACTCTCATTCTGATCGGAAATCAACCACTGATTATTGTACTTTCTTAGGAGGAAATGTTATCTCATGGAAAAGTAAGAAACAACTTGTGGTAGTAAGATCCAGTGCTGAGGCTGAGTATAGGGCAATAACACATATTACGAGTGAGTTGACTTGGCTACTACATTTCCTCCAGGAAATTGGGTTTCCAGTTCAACTTCCTTTACAGTTGTTCTGTGACAACCAGGCAGCTATCCATATCGTTGTCAATCCTGTGTTTCACGAGAGAACCAAGCATATTGAGATTGATTGTCACTTTATTCGGGACAAGATAGTAGTTGGGGAGATTACGACTCCATTTGTGAAATCTGAAGATTAGCTTGCAGATATGTTTACCAAAGTATTGAGTCGTACACGTCTTACAGCTATTTGTTTCAAGCTTGGATTATATGATATTTATAGTCCAGCTTGAGGGGGAGTGTTAAGAGTATTAGGGTAGTATGTATAAATTGTTAATAGTGTTAGGGTATTATGTATAATTTTTATTATTGCAAGTTAATTATAAATACAAATGATGTATGAGAGTTAGGTTAATTTTTTAACCTCTCTCTATTTCTCTATAATCATTGTCTCTAATATTATTGTTAATCCTCTAAACTTAACAAAATCAAAACAAAACATCTAATTCTTGAAACATGACTATTTTACACAGTTACACCATATATCCAACACCACCGTGATAGACCCACCAAAACACATAATTGACACAACCAATTACCCATAACCATTTACACAACCACCTACCATCAACCATCCACCTCTATATGCACATCAAACTTGACCACCACCAAACCGGTCTCTCAAATTACTTCTATCCCACACTCATAAGACCCCTATTTGCGTGTGTTGTTTGTATGAGAGAAATAGGGGGAGAGAGAGTTACCTGAGACTTGGAGAAATTGGCACAATTGCAATATTTTATCCATCAGCTTAAAGGCCCACGTTAATAATGACATCGCACCTCTATTATAGCGTGACGGAGAGAGGAATCCACCCACCTTGCTAGAATAAATAATAAAAACCTGTAAAACACCCAAAGCATAATTTACTTGAGAAAAGTGAAGAATAAATTAAGACTAAACATATAGGAAAACGAAAAGACCTTGAGGTATTTGGTCGAACATTTTGGGGTTTTTTTCAAGGACTGGAGGGTTTGTGTAGAAATGAGTGCAAATACAATGTGTGTTCTGTGTATGTGTGTGTGCACGATGTGAGTTCTCTATGTGTTGTGGGTTGTGTTGTATAAGTGTTATGGGTTGTGTTTTGTATGTGTGGGTTGGATGTATGTGAGCAATGTGTGTGTGATGCATTGAAACCCCCATTACATGAAAATGCTAACTCACAGTGTTACAAGGTTTACAAACTCCAAATTTAAATTCATAAGGCTCAAACTATTTACTGAACTCACTATTATATCACAATATTCCCTCGCAACAACTATTTACCCAACCATTTACCAACTTCATAATTATAATAATCATAAACATCTTTAAATGAATAAAACCATAGAGAAAAAAATATAATGAAGAGTCATAGCACTTGGCAAAATAAATTTTTTGTTCCTTTGGTAGAAGAGATGGCCTTTTATTTTCCCCTAGATCTGTCAATTGCCATTGCATTTGACCTTTTTTTCTCCTTTTATCAACAACCAATGTATATAATGTAAGAAAACACAAGTTAAGAACAAAAAAAAAAATGATTGATGGGAGTTAAACACTAGCTCAAATATACAGAGACGATTAAATTCATACTCATGGCGAATCATCACACCTATATTATCCTTATGAA